AGTAGTAGTAGTAGTAGTAGTAGTAGTAGTAGTAGTAGTAGTAGTAGTAGGAGTAGGAGTAGGAGTAGGAGTAGGAGTAGGAGTAGGAGTAGGAGTAGTAGTAGGAGTAGGAGTAGTAGTAGGAGTAGTAGTAGTAGTAGTAGGAGTAGTAGTAGGAGTAGTAGTAGGAGTAGTAGGAGGAGTAGTAGGAGTAGTAGGAGTAGTAGGAGTAGTAGTAGGAGTAGTAGGAGTAGTAGGAGCAGCAGCAGCAGCAGCAGGAGCAGGAGCAGGAGCAGGAGCAGGAGCAGTAATTCAAGATTGACAGGCTTGCTGTTATTGATAGTCTCCTTGTAGAAAAACAGGTTCCCTGCTGCGACCGTAGGCAAAAGCTAACAAAGTTGAACCAAACCACGTGTTCGTGGGCTTCTCCGTAAGCAAAGGTGCGCACGTGTGTCGTAGGCCCGGCTCAGACTGTGGAACCGTAGGCGAACCGCAGACTTTGCTGGAGGCACCCTTTCAATGATGATAATAGCTTCTATATTGAGAAAGAACCCCGCTCATTTCGGTTTCTTTCGCCCGCAGCTTGACCTCGCTTTCACCCTGCCCAAGTGACCCACATTTATAGCCCTTCAGTCTCGCCTTGGGCACAACAGAGGGCTGCAGGGTGACCCCTGAGAACTCCTTCCAAGCATGGAACCTGTCGCAAATGCAGCTGCATTTCTTTTGTTTCTTCTGCAGTTACTTTAGCAGATTTGGGAGTGATTTAGTGCCTGTCCAATCAGAGGTTGCAGGACTCATGTTTCACCGACTTGATAGAAATTGGATCATGTAGTTTAGTGGGTCCAAATCCATTTCAATATTTTATATGATCATCAGCGCGCGCGATATCATCTGGTGGTGGGACAACGTAGACTTGGTCTTTCAGGATGACGACGATGACATGATGGAAGATGAAGAAGGCGAAGAAGAGGAGCCAAAAGCCATCGACGAGGTCATGGGTGCACCCTAGATTCTAGATGCCCATTCTGGTCCTTTCACATCGGGCCACAAGGCGATTGACGGAAACCACAGCACTAACCCACCTGCCTTGCTACGGCTGATGTCTCGCTGAAATATGACCAATTCTTCGGTGGTTTGGAACGGGAAGCGCCAACAGATTGGCTTTTTCTTTAGAGATCATTACCGACTTTCCCATTTGTGGGACACTGGAGCCAGGTGGTGAAGGCAAAGGCATCTCCCAAGGTGGAGCCCAAGAAGGCCTCACCCAAGGCGCAGCCAAAGGCGGGCCTTCTTTTCTTTTGAACAACACAGACGTGAAAGTCTGGGGCAGTTTGACTTGCGTGGCAGATCATGTGTGATGTTCATGCCCCAGGTGTTTTTTCCACTCCATCGGATTTCTGGGGGGGCGAGACTTCAGCGTGAGAGACAAAAAGCGAGACCGGGAGGACAACACCACATCTTCAAACACGTCAAAAACAAAGGGTTCAGCCACAGCGGCATCACTGACAAGCCGCAATGGTACCGGTCACGACAATTCACAACGACAACAATGGCACGCCACCATGACAACATCAATGACATGCGACAATGGATCACAATGGCCAGATATGGTCAGATTAATTCGAGAACGCAATTGCAGCAGCAAGACAGGTTGCAATGACACCGGCAACAATCAACATAATGACCAAGTCACTGGGAAGCCGCAATGACAAGGGCAATGACAGACCACAATGATCACAATGATAGTGCCGACGAGCAACCATATTGACGACATCCGACAACCTGATAATTGACAGTACCAACAACAGCAGCTGCACACAGAGTTTCCACATCAGTGACATCGACAATGACAGCAGGAATATCATGGGGGACAGAACAAAGTTAGCTGGAAGTAAGCAACTCTTGAAAGACATTTGCATCTCCACTGCCGTACAGTCAATCGGTCTCGACGGAACGAGTCCCAGGCTGCCGCCGAGGAGGATGATGACGAAGAGGAAGAGGAAGAGGAAGAATCAGAGGAGGAGGCTCGGAATCGGTGAGGTGGTAAGGTTCCTACTAGATTAAACTCCATGATTAATTATTCATATAGATGACAGCGCAGCACCTTGGCATCATCCGCCAGGATGCCGCGGTGGACCCTGTGCCCAAGGGTCTCAGCCTTAGGATTACCCTTGGCGAAGACCAATCCCACCAGCGCCTCGGCTTTTCCAAGGCAAGACCGATGCCAAAGCGAAGGCCAAGGCAGCGGCAAAGGCCTGGAGACGAAACGCGTATAGACGGCGCCCAAGAAGGCCATGGTAGATCCTTTGTTAGAGGAGAAATATCCCCCACTGCAAATGAACTCTCCTTTACATCACTGGTTTCAAAGAAGGGGATGGCCCTCACAGGCGGCAGCAGATGATGACGATGCCGCGGCCTTGGTAGTTTCTCAGGTCATTTGGCTCTGCTGAGGAGTTTGCCCCTTACATTTAAGCGGCTATATATATATATATATATTTGATGATGGTTATTTTGGCAGTCGCCTCCTCCACAACAACAGAGATCAGTTCAATGTATCGCAATCACGAACATGTGCAATTGTGTGTTTTTTTCTGCTTGTGGCCCTTGGCAGCCAGTGTTCTAAGACATGTGGCAGGGGAGCTCTAGTGGACTTAGGATGAGGATGAGGAAGAGGAAGAGGAGGCTTTCGTGCTCACGTTTTGGGGTCCGACTGTGGGCCGATACTGTAAGTTCCGAAGCTGCACCCCTTCTTGATTCTCGACATATCACATGCCCAACAGTCGGATCCACGCATTTTCAAGATTCATGAAATATCAAATTCTCACACTTGGCAGGCCTGTCTTTTCCGGCACTGATGTCTGAGCCATGATCAGGACGACGACGATGATGATATCGATGAGCCTCCAGTGACCAGCTGAGATTGGGGCGTGTTTGGCGTTTTGGTATGGTTCCTATCGCCTGTAGGACAATCCCATTTGAAGTAGTTCTGCCTTCTGTCATTGCCGGGTTAGTTTCATGATGATCATGATGTTTCATTTGAATGCCATGTTCAGGAAATCCTAAAACAACAACACTGCAACAAAAGCTTTCCTCAGGCTGCCGGTGCGCGCCTCGCGGTGCGCCACGATGATTTCTGAGGCCAAGAAGTTCAAAGGAGATAAAGGTGGTGGCAAGGGCAAAGGGAAGGATGGCAAAGGAAAGGGCAAAGACAAAGGCCTGAAGTGCATCGGGATGCATCGGGCATTGGACGGGTGTTGGTGCTGGTGCTGGTACTGGTGCTGTTTCTTTGCTTTTTTGTTTGTTTGATTTCTCTTTATTTATTTTTATTTTTTATTTTTTTCTATCTCTCTCTCTCTCTTCTTGATTCGATTGCCGGCACACCTACAGACAGTATGAGTCCTTCAAGCCTGCAAACCATTGTGAAAGTTTTTCACACCGCCGGGCCACCAACTATTCGTCTAAACTGATGCATCCAGGCCTCTCAAAGAGGCTGGAAACCCGTTTTGGGGATGAAGAGATACACTGTTTGATCAAACGGGCATGGAGTCTCCGGGCATGGAGTCTCTTCATGTTGCAAGGAGTCACTTGGGCCTTTGGTCTCCGTGCGACGTTTGGGGTGTTTCTGGCGCTTGGTTTCTCAGGAAAGGGCAAAGGGAAGGGCAAAGGCGGCAAAGGGAAGGACAAAGGAAAGAAAGGCAAGGGAAAGGCGCGACCGGCCACGCAACCAAGACAAGGTGGTTCATGTGGACTCATGTGGACCGAACCTCTGCTGGGTCACAAAGATTCACAAAGCAGATGCGAGGAAGATGGTTTGAAACGGCAGGATCTGGGTACATTTTCTATATACATGTATACATATATATATATTTATTATATATGTACACATGCACACTATATGCCCACTATCAATGCATTGACATCCTGGACCTACGGTGCATGCTATTGTTAATGTAGCAAGCAATGAGACAGTTTGCTACAGACTGACTTGGTGCGGTCTGGCAGGGTAAAGGCAAGAGATAAGCCGCCCTTGCATCTCGGCAAGGATTTAGCTGATGCCAGGCGCCAGCTATGTGCAGTGCTCAAGAACTTTGAGTATCGTCTGGCAAGCAACCCTGTCTTTCTTTTGCAAGACCCCTTGGACTGCGACCCTTTTTTGGGGCCGTCAAAGACCAAAGACTGCTAAGAATCGAATCCATTCTTTGCCACGGCTGAGCCACGGAAGAGCCACGATTGGTCCAAGCTGAATCGATGGACATGGGATGAAATGGGTCGTTCTGCAATCGCATCTCAGTTGATAAGATGTTTTTTGCTGAAGCGCCATGACTCCAAAAGCATGTTCGAGAGGCATGTCCCAAATCCGCAGACACGAACTTGAGACTTTCTTTGGAGACCTGGGGGATATGCTCATCAAAGCTGCCATCATGAAGAGTTGACCCGGTTCCAGGATCAGATCTTCTCATCAGGGTGGCCTCTAGTAGTTGCAGGTTTATGACACGCCACAGCCACTTGTGCTATTTTCATCTATTTTCTGTTGGTTTTGCGCCACACACTCCCAGCTCCTTGGGGTGAGGTGATCAGTGACATCACTCAGCGATTCCTGTTTGATTCCACTCAATGAGTGCTTTATTCAATCGCTATTAGGTTGGAGGCCATCGCTATTGGGGTGGAGGCCATCGCTATTAGGGTGGAGGCCATTACTACTAGTAACAAGAAGCTACTAGGTGGAGGCCATCGCTGATTCCTGTTTGGTTCCACTCAATGAGTGCTTGGGGCTCCGAACATCATTTCTTAGCCACTCCAGTTTGTCTGTGACGTCGCTCAGGAGCCGGGCCTTTCGCGGGCCGAAGCGGCCTCGCTTCAACTGAGTTCCCACTCGTTGCAGGAGCCGTGCGGAGCGGCTGCAGCATGCCACCCTGGTGGCTACCTTCCAGAGTCGGCTGAAGAAGTTTCAGCAAGACAGATATATATATATATATATACACGCATATAATTGTTTCAAAGACGGAGGGAACCCAACCAATCTCTGGGGTGCTTCCACCCTGCTCGTTCCTAGTCCTACAGTATCAGATGTGGGTCGGAACATCCTTCAAAATAAGGTGAATCACCGGGGAACTGGTGCCTGTTCATGCACCTCAAGTGTGGCACCAGAGCTTGGTTCCAACCTATTGTGGACCATTTGACATCACACAGAAAAGGCCCCAACCCAGCTTTGCTCATTTGTCGGCAGATGCAAAACACATAGGCTTTGTTGCTTAAGAAGGCAGCTCCCAAATTCGTTGGAGCAGTTTGCGACTGCGAATTGCAGTCAAGCCATGTTTTTGCGATGTCATATATATCTAATTGCTGGGACACAATCTAGGCTGAGAAGCCGAGACCAAACAAATCAGATGTTGTACCTACACGAGACCGGGGATTTTAGACATGAAATTCTGACTCCCTCCAAAGGGAGGAACAGATTGTGGGTATGAAAAGATTCAGATTCAGATGGTGTTCCAGGCAAAAAGGTAGCCTTCCTCACATCCTTGCGCTTCTGTCCCCCAGCGGGAGGAGTCTGCAGGGTGTGATCCATAAGACTCCATCCATTCATGGAGCAAATCTATTTGCTGATGAGATCAGGGCACTGATGAGATCAGGGCCCCTGGCTTCAATGGTTCCGCGCAAAAAGCAGACGAACGGTTTTGCTGGACACCGTGCAGAGATGGGAATGGAGGACAAGCTCGCAACCAAAACCTCACCGGGTGAGGTCTCGAGAAGCGCAGGGTGAGGTCTCGAGAATCAACATAGACCAATCTCACGCTAGCAATGAAGAGATGAGATGCGGGTAGAGCATGAGAGCAGACTGAAAGGGGACCATCAGGTCTTGTGTCAAGAGAGGATGTCCTCTTCTGACGGTCCGATTCCTTAGGCGGGTGGTTCGATTCGAAATCGGAAGCTCTTCCAAGTTGACCACGTTTCCATACCCCAAACCCTTCCTGTTGATCCGCTGGAGAACGGATGAACCTTCCCGTGGCTTCGGCATGCCGTTCTAACTCAGTGCCTGCGCCACCGCGCCAGGCATGGGGAAGAAACCACCGGGGTCGAAGAAGGAGGAAAAGCAGACGAGGAGCGGCCGGTCATGAACACCGGGCGACGCCCGCCACCTACCGCACGGACCACGCGCCACCGACCGCACCTGTGCGCGCGCCTTCACCGCGCAGGTCACAGTGGGAAGGCAAACACCCAGAGCCCAAGAGTCGGGTGGACGAGAGAAAGGTCCTGGCGACTGTGAAGTGCCTCAGCTGACATGAAGGTTCATGCGGGTCGGTTACAACCCTCGGACCCTTGAAGAACATGAGCAACGGCACTTTGTATATCTCCACTTGTGGTGTTTTTTCTCGAAGAACATACAGAGTTGTTGGTGGGTGGTCGATTGAGTGGCCTGCAACGAGTTGCACAGGCACAGGGGCACAAGCAGCAGCGCTTGCATTAAACAGAGGGAGGGGAATGTCGCAAATCTGCAAGCTGTGCTTCCTGCGACCCAATCGCTGACCTTGGCAAAAGAGAAGACTTGCAAAACAGTTGCTACCCATACCTGGGACGGAAGGGGGCTTCTAAAGCTGAGGATTGAACACTCACCAATGGATCCAGTTAACAGTGTTGGATCCAATCATTTCCTTCAGGCTTCTTGCACCAGTGCAAGAATCTTCACTGCGCCATCTGCCCTCGTCGTACGCCCTGGTCGTACGCCGAAAGCGCCTCGCACCGCCGTCCCCGAGGCTTGCGGCGCCGGCGGGGTCTCCCAGGCTTAGCTCGGCCGAAGAGGTGGAAGAAAAGAACTTTCTATTTTATGTGTTTCTAATAGCGAACATTGCTCCTAGTAGTATGGCCAAAAACCCCTAGTAGCGTCCTTGCTCCTAGTAGCGATGCCCTTTGCTCCTAGTAGCTTCTTGTTCATAACAATTGACAATGTCATTACTTTCTATTTTAGAAGAAAACAACACATCGAGGAACGCTTGGAATAGATCAGATTGTTAGGGCTTCAAGACAAAGGCCGCCGGACCATCCTTGGTTTCCACATGCAGTTTAGCAATCCTGAGGTTTGCAACCTCTTGGAATTCAAGCTCGACTGCAGCCCTTCCACAAAGATATCTTTCATCGTTGATCGGATCATTGATCGTCATGGCCCGGGGCTGGGCGGCAGTCGCGTGGTGGTGACCGGGTCGCGTTGCGTCGGACTTGTGCGATCCATAGAGGTCGCAGTGAGAAGAGTCTTGAAGAAGAATCTTCTATAAGAATATGGTATTAATATGAACCACTAGATCAGAGTTATTCATGAGTTCAGGCAAGACTCTTGTAAATTCCAGCGCTTCTCGGTGTCTTGAGTCTTGAGTAACATCTGAGAAATGAAAAGGGACATCCCCTGCACGCAAGAAACACCCACTTCAAACACGACTGGAAACGATCTCCAGCACAGCACCAAACACGACTCGACTGCTTATTCAAAACGTCATTGGACTGAGTAATCACTGGAATTGGATGAGAAATCACTGGAATTGGAGCCAATGCCTCAACAGCTTCGACCCTTCTCTTCGCCAGGTGGATCCATCAGCGATCTCTCTGTGTGTGTGAACCGCTTCCATCCTGACGAGATTGTTGGCAGAGTGAGGGGCCTCAGGCCCTCAGGTATATGGCTGTGAGTCAAATCCAGGTTTTCTTTCGTTGACCTACCTGGGAGGTCAAACTACACCAGGTTTGGACCCATCCCCATACACTTCTACGCACGCCGCCTGTACGCTGAACCTTATAGCATCTTATAGCTTGTGAGGATTGGACAACATCTATGGTTTGGGTCTGCCTACCCGCTGGTTGGTTCAGAATGGAATGAGGTTCCCGGGGCGGACCTGAATTTAGCTCCTCAAGAGAAAAATGGACTGACAGAGAGCAATCATGTCAGGGTAATCATGATGATCCACAGGACCAAGAGTAATCATGACAGACTGCTGCACCTGCGGATTTGGGACCAGACGCGACCGTTGGGAACTCCGAGGATAAGACTCTGGAGCAATGTGGTGTCTTCGGCGGCGAGTGTCTCATATACTACGTGGCGCCCTCACTTCAGATTCTTTCAATTCAATTTCCAGGATTGTGTGAAAAAGCACATGCTGCAGGGTCTCACGATCATATCATAACGGTTTTGCCATCAATGTCCATGGTAGTAGTAGATGATCAGGTAGGATTGGCGTTCTCGGAGTGCTCTTCCCGTTTTCGCTGTGGCTTCTATGGCTTCTTCGGCTTCATGTCCCAAGGATTTCGTGCCCAGAGCGGGTGCTTTACTCGCGTGAAGGGCCGCCAGACACACCGCGAAAACCAAGCGGAAGGTGCTCAAGAAATGCTGAGAAGGTTCATAACGTTAGGCCAGTAGGAGCCATAGGATGCATGAAACTGTGAGTCTCAAAGGGACGACACAGACCGACACAGGCGACGCGACACGTGCGCTGATCAAAACGTGAGCGACGTCAGGGAGGGCGGGGTCGGTTTCAAGGAGTTTCATCGACGTTCTCCACCAGGATGTCAACAAAGGATGTGGGCGTGCCAGAAATCGCAGACGTGGCAGATGGGGCGTGCTAAACAAGGAGCTCAGATCGTGTTGTTCTCATTGTGCGGTCAGCAGGCATTTCCAAGCACTGATTCGCAGGTGCTACTACTCTTGTTTAGTGTGGTGCTTGATAGTAGCAGTGCTAGAC